GTGAGGGAGGATGGTGGTGAGAAAGGGGAGAAGGATGGATGTGGTGTTGGAAGGCGACAGAATGAAGGGGACAGAGGAAAGAGGGACGGCGGGAAAGCAAGAGTGGAGGGAGGAGGGAAAAGAGGAAGAGGGATGGAAGGAGGATGGATCGAAAGAGAAGGCAGAAGCGGGAAAGGAGGAAAGACAGCAGGGAAACAGCACGGGACGGGAAGGAAGCAGGAGGAGGTATGGGAAGAGGACGAATTCCAGCGCGAGAAGAGGAAGAAGGGGCGGAAACTAGGCAATGGCTGAACTCATGCCACTGTCCTTCTCGCCGAGGGCCACTGGCCGGGACAGGCTATAGATGCCGAGGCTGCCTGGGCAGCGTTAGCAACCAGGACCCGACAGTCGGGTAGGGCCCGGCTGGGAGGTCTCGGCAGACCCAACTCCCCATGCTCGGGGATTTTTTCCAGCCTCCCATGCTCCGGGATCTGGTCAGGAGACTCCTCAGCCCTGGGATCCCGGCTTCTCCCGACCCTGCCCCCTCCCGCCTCGAGGACTGATGGATTCGTCCCCTCTGCCGCCACCGCGGTGCCTCCTCTTCCTCTCAGGTTCTAATGGCCCGGGGAACCCGTAAGGGCCAAGATCAAAATCTATAACCTGCCACTTTTTTAGCCTCCCACGCTTCGGAAGCGGGAACCTCGGTGGGGCCAGTTCCGCGTCCGGGCAAGCACGGAGTTCTGCGCGTGCGCCGGGCGGCCGCTCCAATGAGGGGGCCCGAGGGTACAGAGCATGCGCGGAAGCCCCCCCACCACAGTCCCTCAAAGGAAGGAGCGTTTCCGGGGGTCGGTGCCTTCTTCTATGGCATTGGCCGGGGAACCCAGGCGCCCAATTTCAAAAAGAGCCAATAGTTTGGAGACTCTGGAGCATCACATTCAGGTTTTGAGCCAATATTCAAGGGCAATAGGAAAATGGGATTCCAAGTTTATTCCTAACTTGAACACTCCTATCTTTATGATCTCCACTCATTTCTTTTTTTCTTTTTCTTTTTTTTTTTTGAGACAGGGTCTCACTACGTAGAGTCTGACCTGGAACTCACTATGGAGCCCAGGCTGGTCTCGAACTCACAGCGATGCTCCTGCCTCAGCCTCCTGAGTGCTGGGATTACAGGCATACACCACCACACCCAGCTCCCACTCATTTCTTAAATTCCTTGATTTTGTTGGTTTTTGTACAGGCTGATTTCTTTTTTCAATCATCCATTTGGACACACTAATTTTAAATTTAGCATATATATTCCCAGAGTTTACAGAGAACCTGGGGAGTGTGAGAGCTGGATTTATTTTTTAACAAACACCTACATAGCACTTAGTATATATCAGGCAGTATTCTACCAGGTGTAGAAGTACTAACTCATTTAATGATCACCACTTAAGTCGCCTTGGGGATGAGAAGGCCATTTATTATATGAAGGTTTTTAAAGCACTTTCAGACTATTTCTTTTTTCTTCCTTCCTTCCTCTCTCTCCCTCCCCCCCCCTCTTTCTTTCTTTCCTTTTTTTTTTTCAGTATTGGGGATGGAACTCAGGACCTTGTACTTGTCAGGCAGACATGATGCCCTTGAGCTACATCCCTGGCCCTTGGATAATTTCCTTTAATCTACCAGCTAGAGGAGAAAAAGCAACCTCTGAGCAATTTATGTATCTTTTTATCTCAAGGTCTCAGCACACAGCTTGCTCAAAAAAATCATAATAAATTCCTTTGTTCACAATAGCTACTAAACAAGCATTTGTTGGTCACGTGCACAGTCCTTATCTCTGAGAAGTCAAACCATTTACTTGAATTTTGAACTTTCAGGAGCTTAATTCAGAAGCTCAAGGATATGTGAGAAGAAGGATGCTACTTTGGCCATTATTTCCAGGTTTGTTTCACATTTTTCTTGTTTACCTGTTTTTTCCTAGTTTTCTACCCTTTGTGTAAATCTTTTGGGAAGTTGAGACTGTTTCTGGCCTGGGGTTCAACTTATATTTGACTTGCTCTTGTGATAACTAAAGCCTGAAATGTAACTTTGATGTTTCCAAATCAACTGGTAAAATAAAGAATCGATGGCCATGTTTGTGAGACACTTTTAATAGGTAGAGAGGCCTTGGGCAGATGGCAACAGACTGGGACATACAAAGAAAGCAGTAGTATGTTGCAACGTATAGAGTCAAACATACCAGTGGCCTATTGCTATGGAACAGGAAGAGCTGATCACGAAATACAGCCAGGTTGGTGTAACAATAGGCAGAAATGGAAAAAGTAAAAGTAATATTTCTATATGTTGTGTTTGCCATGTAACCTACAGACTTCTTTTTAGTTTTGTAGCATTTGTTCCTTTTGATATTCTGACATATGTATGTACTATGAATCCTTAGAACTTTAGGTTCCTGACAGTAGCTGTTCTCTAGATGAAGAAAATCACCTCTCTTTGGTAATATCTGAAACAATATTGCCATCATATATATATACTATATATACTATATATAGTATATATATACTTTTATAT